AAGCTTACTAGAAACCTCCCAATCCATACCACAAATCCCCTAAAACAAACCAAAAACCCCACAAAGCATACTACGAATATTCCAAAAGCACACCAGAAACTTCTTAATGCAAACCAAAAACACAATAAACCAAACCAGAAACCTAATAATGCAGACCACAAATCTCCTAAAACAAACCACAAACCTCACAAAGCAAACCACAACATTTCAAAAAGCACACCAGAAACCTCCTAATGCGAACCACAAACACAGTAAATCAAACCACAAAAAAGCAAACCATAAACGTCCTAATGCAGACCACAAATATATTAAAACAAACCAGTTACCTCACAATCCAAACCACAAAATTTTTGAAAGCAAACCATAAACTTCTTAATGTAAACAACAAACACGATAAAGCAAACCACAAAAGGCATACAAAAATATGAGAAACCAAACCATAAATCTCACAATGCAGACCATAACATCCGGTGGTCGTTGACGGTTGACCAAACTTCGATGACCGTTAGTGAGCAGATTCCGACGCTGATAGGCATATTCCGGCCCCGATAACTAGATTCTGATGTCGGTAAGCATATTGCGACCACTGTGAGCATATTCAGGCGACGGTGGGCATATTCCAATGACAATATAGCATATTCCGGTGACCGCGACCATTGGACGATTTCCGACCACCAAAATTTTGGGTAGAAAAAAAAATATTATTATTTAAACGTATTTTTCATAATGAAAATTATACCCCTACTTTGATTTTACACTAGGTCAACTCAGCTAATAAAAAGTCATCACAACCCTAGCTTCCTATCGGTTGAAGACTAGTGTTGTTACAGTTAGGGGTGGGCATTCGGTAGGTTCTGTTTCGACCAAACCGAAATTATGAATACCGGGTCCCCGAATTCTTCCAAACCTCAAACAGAATTCGAACCGAATTATAATTGGGTTCGGTTGGTTTAAACCGAATTATAATTCGGTTCGATTTGAAAGAACCCTGGTTTCCGAAATATCCATATTTCCCTTGCGAATTCCGAACCGAATAGCATTATTTTCGTTTCGGTTCGGTTTAATTCAGTTTCGGTTCGGTTTGGGTTTACCGAACCGGTTGCCCACCCTTAGTTACAGTAACAACACAAGGGTCTTGTCATACTATCTAGTCCCTTCCGCGACTACTAAAGAATTGGGGAGTCGGCCGGAAATTCAATGTCGCTAAGAATAAGGAAAAGTCACCAACGGTGCAATTTGTGTTTATTTTATTAGTTGTTTTGGTTATTTAATAGTTTAATTAGTATTTTTAGTCCTTGTTTAAATAGTATTCTGTTTACTACTTAGTTTGAGATTTGTTTTCCTATTCCTTTTAAGTTAGTTTTATGGTTTTGAAACCTCTATAAATAGAGGATGAAAGACCTACGGATTTTATACCCAATACCTAATATTCAAGTTATCAATTAAGGGTTTTTACTGGATTAATGACATAAATATTGTTTTTTTTTAATTTACCACCAATATGGCGGATTAAAAACAAATTACACAGATATTGTGTTTTTAGAAAAGGCTGGGGCGGCCACACCGAAGACTCAGGCGCCGCCGCTGATTTTAAAGTTCTGGGCGCTGCCGCCCGAGTCCCTAGCGCCGCCGCATCAGACTTTTTTTTTTTTAAATTTCCCTCGGGCTCGGGCCCCCCCCTCCCCTCCACCCTTATCTCTTCCCTGACCACACACTCTCCTCCTCCCTCCTTCTTCCCGACCACAAAACCTCCCACCTTATCCCTCCCCCCCAAAACCCTCCTCTTCCTTCTTCTTCTTCCAGCCCGAACCAGAGAACCCTACCCCGCCAACTGAGGTGCCGGCGCCTGTGAGTGGAGCGCCGCCGCCTTTGAGTGGAGCGCCGCTGCCAGTAAGTGGAGCACCGCTACCTGGGAGTGGAGCGCCAACGCCGCAGCAGGGAGCGCCGCTGCTGGAGAGTGAGCGCCGCCGCCGCAGAGAGGAGAGCCGCCGCTGCAGTCTGAAGCGCCGCCGCTGACTGGTGAAGCGCCGCCGCTGATGTCTTCCGACGAAGAAGAAGCCGGCAGAGGCAAGGGGAGAGGCCGGCGAGGTCGTGGCAGCCGTTTACGCGGTGAGACTCTCGTCGGCGGCTTGAATTTTTTTTTTAATAGTTTGTGTTTTTTTTTTAATGTTTTGTTGCTTTGTTTTTGCAGTTCCTAGGCTTATGGATCCTTATTTGATGAGATTACCGCCGGCGACAATTGATCCAAGTCCGGTCGATGCGACACTTCTTTGGGGACATGGCCAACATCGTATTGACTCTGTTTGGACAAACGAGGTAAGTATTTGATAATTATTCATGTAAAGTTAATTAGCTAATTAGATTATTTTAGTTGGTGAACTGTACTGTTAGAGAATAGGATTACGTATTAGATTTTTTGAAATTAGTATAATTTGATATTATCTCATGTTTATTGCATTGACCTTGGATTGATTGCTTGTGACCGAGTGCATCCTATTAAGATGATTGAGAATTGCATTAGGTTAGTGCACATGTTTAGTTCTTATATCTGTGCAAATGAATGGATGTCTTGACTTGAGTACTCATTGATTGCAGTTGCCATACATAGAATTTTGTGTAGTTTGAATAGACGATTGGGTGATTAGGTAGCCATGTGAGTTTTGTGCCGATCATCTTCTTCTTGTGTGTTTAGATCCCTCTTACCATGGAAAGCAACATTCACCGTTGTCACTAGTGAGTATGATGGATGCATAGGATTAGTCCACGCCCAAAAGTTTATTGTCCCGAAATATCTTATCCCCTAGTTAACCCTTTTTAGTCGTGTGACTTTGGGGGTCGTTCTAATGTTAGGAGCTTTGTGCTTGTTGAGCTTAGTGGTGATTGATAGAATGACCCCTCATACTTTCTTCATGTCAAAACGTGAGTCATTATCCTTAGTGGTGATTGATAGAATGACCCCTCATCGAGGTTTTACATAGGAGGATGTTGCACGATTCTTGCTAGGAATGAAGAAGTAGTGTTGGAGGAAGTTCTTAATAGAATGCATTGTTCGTTAAATGTTAATTTGGCAAGTGTTTAACTCTCTAGTACCCCCCCCCCCCCCCCCGAAAAAAAGAGAAAAGAAAAAGAAATGGAAGTAGAAAAAAGGAAACGAAAAAGAGGTAATAAAACGTGGGTAAATAAAAGTAGAGAGTTGCCACAAAAGTCTAAGTGTATGCTCTAGAAAGGGTTTATTGGCACTCAAGCCATTGGAATACCTAAGTATTTGTTAACCTCCTTAACTATTATGATTGAGATATGGATAGCAAGAAGAGACCGACAAAGTGTGCTTGAATGTAGTTCTTGGTTGGTAATGGTTTGGGAGAAGGGAAGAGCGGTTTTTGGCCATTGCTAGTGGCCATTAATTGTAGGAAAGGTTCCTAGTCGAAACCATAGATCCATTGCTTTAAGGTTGAAGATGTAGTACCTCATGCTATGTTTGCCACCACCCAAAAGGCTTTTTACCCATGTCCAAGACAATTGCCAGTCCTTTGAACCCGTGTCTAAGACCTCCGGACAAGCTAGTGATGGCAACCACCTTGTGAACTCTAGCATTTAGAGTTTGCCGCCCTGGTGAAGAGATGATAGGGCTGAGTGTTGATGGTTGTGAACATCTTTTGCACCCAATGGTCCTGACCCCACTGGTCCAAAGTGAGTGATTCATTCATGTTTTTCATGCTCATATCTTACCCCGGTGAGGGCCTATGTTGCCCATTCGTTTGTGCCTTGAACTTGAACTCTATGCATGGTTAGTTGTGGTTGGTGAGTAGTTTTGTCGAGACTTGTGTTGGTTTGTGAACAGGGTGAGAAATTTTCATTTGCACGCTCTTGATGCTGTCGCAACCACCCCTCAAGATCGTGGGACCCGTCGCGAACGCTAGGAGTCGCCATTGATCTTACATGGAGTGTATCGAACAGTCGATTGGTCTGATTTAAACATTAGGTCAAAACCGGAATCTGGTCTGCGAAAATTCAGAGATGGGTTCGGGAGTACAATTACGTGTGGGTAATTGTATTCACACCCCAAACGCCCAAAAACTGGTACTACTTAAATCAATAAGTTTTAAAAGGGTTGGTGTATTATTATTTGGCTTAATTGCCTATTTAATTATATTATTTGATTAATTATGCGCTTATTATTACAATTCGATCATACGTCTGTTGACGTAAATCTCGAATGTAAAGAAAGAGTTTTTGGTTAGTTGGACTCGAACCTATTGGTTGCCTACGTACCTGAGTAGTCGGGATCAATGTCCAGTTAGTTCGGTTAAGTTGATAGGTTTTAAAAGAGGACACCGCCTGTTCTATTGATCATGCATAAGGTTTGAGATTGTATTTGTTATGAGGAAATGTGTTTTTATTTTGTAATTGACGAATTTGAAGGATTCCCACTTAAGAAACCATCGAGGTCTCTCGACCATGATTTTGTGACAAGAGTAGTTTAGGATAATATGCACATGTAACGAAGTAGATAATACCCTAGGAATTGATTTTGGTGTTTTTAGCACATAAGGATAATCATATTAAACCCTAACTAAGAATGTTAATAACATTATTATCGATCTGTGATTTTATGTATTAATGTTCTGAAACAGTTAAAATTGGACGAGGTCGCCACTAACTATACGAAAGATAAGTAGTCTAGTGGCTTTAGCCTTTACGTCATTTGTTGTCTAAAGTAAAGGTCGTTGGTTCGAACTGCAGAGAAAGAGTTTTTTTATAAGGTTATGAAGGATGTGAGTGGCAACGTGTAGTATATGGGATGTATGAAGAGGGTAAAAGTGTCATTTGTGATGGCCGAGTATCTAAATTGAAAATTGGGGGTTAGAGATCAAAACCCTAACCGCCGGTCACTCCCTCCCTTCACATCCATCTCTCTCTCATTTTTCTATGAAATGGGAACGAAAGACAAAAATTCTTCTCATCTACTCCCATCTCTCCAACTGTCTCACGTCGGTTACCACACTAACCCAAAAAAAATGACCTTTCAACCTATTGTTCTTCTTGGAACGACGAGGAGAACGGGTGATCGAGATGACGACGACAAATGGAAGACAGAGATCGACGTCGATGAAAATCACAACAACCGCGACCAAAGGTAAGATCTATTTTTTTAGGGTTGCATGTCAGGCTTGGAGGTTTGATTACGACTTTGAGTAAGTGTCTAATACGTGTTTCTTTTCTGATTTATGGTTTTTTGAGATATGATCAAAATGGGAAGAGGACGAGGTTTCCGACGGCAGCTATAAGAGGAGGAGTACCGGTACCCAGGGGAACGTCAACAACGGTGAAGAGAGGCGGCACGTGGGACCAGCGACGTTAGCTCGTGGGATCGGCGGCGACTCCCTCGTCGGCTACAGAAGGGTAAGATTTTTTAATATGGTTTTCAATATTTTATTTGCATTCTAGCTCTTTAATATTCTGATTATTCGTTTTCTTTTTCTTTGTCATTCTGATTGATGGCAAGGGAAGGCGAGGCAAACAAGTGAAGGGAGAAATGGTCGCCGCCGGCAAATCTGTATTTCGCCGACGACGACAACAATGACAAAAGGGTGAGTTTGTTTTTGTAAGCTTTATTTCTGGATCTGTTTGCTAACCGGGTTTGAGATGTTCAATTAAATTGAAAATGATTATGGTGGTTTACAGTTTTGTTTTGTTAGTTAGGGGAAAACTTGATTGGTTATGATGGTTTTGAACCCTCTAAACAGAAAGTTTCTTTTAAGGTTTCCAAAACATGGTTAAAACAAAGAAAATTGAAAGTGTAGAAGTTACATGTTAAATGATAAACCACTGCTATATTAAAAATTCTTATATTGTGTTTTCATGGTGTGGGTTTGAACGTTGTAGACTTTGAGATGGGTTTGAATATTGAAAAATCTGTTTATGGTAATGGTTTGTGGTAGTGATGTGTCTTATGATGGGTTTGGATCCATAAACTGGTGAGTGTTTATGGTTTTGGTAAAGTATGTTTTAAGATTAGAAGGAGCTCCCTTTCAAACCAAAGAGGCATTCTAAAATACCTCCCTAAGCTTGAGTTTTTTGTTGAATTTTTCTATTTATTGGCTTGCTTGCTACCATTTTTATATCTGTGTTCTGATAAGTTGAGATGTTAAAAGTTATACCGGATATGAAACAAACTCAGTAAAGCTTAAGCAAACATGGTAGCACAAGAAAACCCATCAAAGTTTTAGTGAAAATACATGGATGATGAAACTGTTAGAAACGGAACAACAACAAGATGAGGATACCGAATCTGGAGCTGAGTCGCGGACTAGGTCGCTTTCTTTAAGACGTTCGCGGCACTGCCCTCGATGCGCACGACAGACTATCAACCGGTCGTCTCCAGGATAAAACAGCTCCTCTGTGTACTCGCGGTTTTGTGCGAAAACCGGAGCTCTCTGAACACTCTCTCTATTGTGTTTATGCTCGTTGTGATGTGTTTAGAGGGGCTGGGGAGGCGGCTATTTATAGGAGCCGAACCCCTAGGAATATACCCTCTTGCTTGGGGAATAAGTCGGATTAATTAAGGAAGATAATTACTTCCTTAATTAAAACCGTCGGTTAGGATAAATCCTGCGGAGATTATCCTTCGAATATTCCTTTTCAATCGATTATCCCTTGGAATATTCCTCAGAGTAACCGATTAATAATTAATTATTAAATAATTAATTTCGTTCGGAATTTCTCCAAAAAATATGTATATAGTCTCAAGTGATCCATCCATCCAACCAACCGACCGACCGGTCGGTCGGACGGACGGCGCGCGCGCGCGTGTGTGTGGTGGTCCGTTAGGTCCTCCCTCTCCCACAAAAGTGGGTCACCCCAAGGGGCATGCCCTTAGGAGAGAGGCTCCTATCTTTATACTCATTTCACCAAGTAAAACTACCAATGTGGTAGTTTTTCCACTTGAGACTCGATAGCTTTCAAAGCTATTCATACACATTTCCAACAATCCCCCACTTGAATAGTTTTGAAACTATCTCTGAGCATTAACAGTTCCATAAGATCGGGCATAAGCTAAGGTATCGCGAAAATTTGAACCTTAGCGTAGTGGTTACACTTCCGATTTCATAAGGGTGACTCGTAGTCTTGAACCCTATCTCAGACAGTGTAGCACACCGGATCTTTTCATTGAGTTGTGTTCTCTTCTTAGCTCGTGCGTTTATGGCCATGCACGTTATCCTGGTTTAGTGAACGCTCTAGCAACTTTGTGCCTCTCAAAGTTCCATAGAGAGCGGCCCCACTCCCACATTCACATAGGTGAGTCTATCAGGAGTACCCCCAAAGTAAAGTACTCCACCCCACATAGGGTATAGATCTCATTAAGAGTTATTAACTCAACCTCCATTGCTTTGGGATTCATGCTTCATTATGCATGAACTTTTCGCATACTACTCATGACTTGTTATTACCCATTGAACCCATTTCTTGGGATCTCCAGTCTATTGGGTCGGGTTACCATCACTTGTAGTCCGTGGTTCGGTAGGCATAAGTCCCATACCCTTGGCGGTATTCTGGACTTTCTCTCTAGGTAATCCTTTCGTCAAAGGATCGGCTAGATTCTGTTCGGATCTTATATGATCCACCCTCACTGCTCCTATCGTTAGGAGTTCTCTAACAGTACTGTGCTTACGACGAATCTGTCGTTTCTTTCCGTTATAGAACCGGTTCTCAACTTTAGCGATAGCTGCGGTACTATCACAATGTATCAATACCGGAGGGACCGGGCTTTCCCATAGGGGAATCTCTGACAACAATCCTCTCAACCAACTTGCTTCTTCACTAGCCGTTGCTAGTGCTATCATCTCTGATTCCATAGTTGATTGAGCTAGGATTGTTTGTTTCTTTGACTTCCAAGACACAGCTCCACCAGCGATGTTAAAAACATATCCGCTGGTTGCCTTGGAGTCATCTGATAGGGTATTCCAGTCCGCATCACTATACCCTTCTAGTACAGCGGGAAACCTTTGATAGTATATACCAAGGTTTGCTGTTCTCTTGAGGTATCTCATGACCCTCTCTATAGCATTCCAATGCTCTCTACTAGGACAGCTGTTAAACCTGCCAAGCAACCCCACGACATATGCAATGTCTGGTCGAGTGTAATCCGCAGCATAACGGAGACTGCCAATGATGCTAGCATATTCTGTTTGTCTTACACTGACTCCAGTGTTCTTGAATAGCTTTACACTAGCATCATACAGAGTACACGCAGGTTTACAGTCGAAATAGTTATACTTCTTCAAGATCTTCTCTATGTAACTAGATTGATCTAGAGAATAACCATTTGCTGTTCTAGTTATCTGGATTCCAAGCATAAACTTTGCTTCTCCCAGATCTTTCACCTCAAAGCTCTCTTTTAACATGGCTTTTGCTTCATTGACCACGTGAATATTTGTACCAAATATCAACATGTCATCTACATACAAACATATGATAGTGCAAGTGTTATTCTCTGACTTGCAGTAAATACACTTGTCACTTTCATTCACCTTAAAGCCATGTGAGAGAACGAGAGTGTCAAACTTCTCATGCCACTGTTTTGGAGCCTGTTTCAAACCATATAATGATTTGTCCAACTTACAGACTTTCGAGGCATGTTCAGGGATAACAAACCCTTCTGGTTGTTCCATATAGATTTCTTCATCTAGATCACCGTTCAAAAAAGCAGTCTTAACATCCATTTGGTGTACCACGAGATTGTTCAAGGCAGAAAGAGCAATCATGACACGAATGGATGTTATTCTAGATACTGGTGAATAGGTGTCGAAGAAATCTATATTCTCTCTCTGCCTGTAGCCCTTGACTACTAGGCGAGCTCGGAACCTTTCGATTGCACCATCAGGTTTCCGTTTCGTTTTTAGAACCCATTTATTACCTAAGACTTTGCAGCCAGGAGGTAAGTCTGTTAGATGCCAAGTCTTATTAGCCTCTAACGATTCCATTTCATCTATAACGGCCTCATTCCAAAAGTCTGCATCTATGGAAGTTAATGCTTCCTGCAAACTTTTTGGATCCTCTAGGGTGTATACTGTAGTAAAGTCATCACCAAAATCTTTAGAGATTCTAGCTCTTTTACTTCTTCTGAGTTCATCCTCAGATCCAACACCCCCACTTGTTCCGTTATCTCTAATAGCGGGTAGTACATTACCCCCACTATTTCTCGTTTTAAATGGAAATCGTGTCTCAAAGAAATCAGCATCAATGGATTCTATTACTGTACGAGCATTCAAATCATAGAATCTATATGCCTTACTATTGGCCGCATAGCCAACGAAGACACATTCATATGCTCGACTAGCCAACTTAACCCTCTTAGGATCAGGAATTCTTACGTAGGCCAAACAGCCCCACGTTCTTAAATAGGACAGATTAGGTGGCTTATTCTTCAAGATCTCATAGGGTGATTCTTTTCTATTTTTTTTTGGAAGACGATTTAGCACATAGCAAACCGTCAACAAAATATCACCCCACCAAGAAGAAGCAGCTCCAGAATTGAGCATAATAGCCACAACTAATTCTGTAAAAGTCCTATTTTTCCGCTCAGCTTTACCATTCATTTCTGGTGAATATGGTGCCGTGGTTTCATGAATGATACCATGTGAGCTATAGAATTCCTTGAAGGGATTAGAGTCATACTCTGATCCTCTATCGCTCCTAAGTCTTTTTATCTTTCGATTGCACTGATTTTCAAATTCAACCACAAATACCTTGAACATGTCAAGGGCTTCACTTTTGTTTTTCATCAAATAAACAAAGCAATAATCAGAGCAATCATCTATGAAAGTGATAAAGTATCTCTTGCCAGACCTAGTTAACGTCCCATCTAGTTCACAAATATCAGAATGAATCATATCTAAGGGTTCTGATTCTCTACTCACAGATTTATGGGGCGTTTTCGTTATTTTAGCTTGGCTACAGAAATCACATTTATCAAATTCATTCATTGAGAGTTTAGGGATATGCCCTAGCTTGCTTAAATTCTTCACAATTCGTGTGTTCACATGACAAAGACGAGCATGCCAAACATTCAAATCACACACCATGTAAACTGAAGAATTCATCTTATTAATTTCGACATTCAACTTGAACATCCCATTACATGCATATCCCTTTCCCACAAAACTCCCATTCTTAATAAGGGTATACAAGTCTGCCCCAATAGATTGATTAAACCCAGCCTTATTAAGAAGATATCCCGAAACAAGATTCTTCCTTATCTCTGGAGTGTGCAACACATCCTTGAGCACCATCTTCTTCCCAGAGGTGAAGTTCAGCTCCACTTCACCAGAACCAGCAACCATAGTGGTGTGAGTAGTCCCCAACAACACTTTCTTGTCAGCATGTGCTTCTTCGTATGTTTTAAACATAGCACGATTGTTGCATACATGCTTCGATGCACCTGTATCCAGCCACCATCCTTTTGAGTCACCGGTGAGGTTAACTTCAGCGATCATATCTGTGATCATGGCTACCAAATCCTCTTCTGTCAAGTTCACCCTGGCCGCAGCGGCGGGGTTATGCTTGTTCCTGCACTTTTTTGCCATATGACCCGGTTTTCCGCAGTTAAAGCAGATAAACGGTGGGTCATTCTTAGAGGTTTGGGCCATGACCCTTTGGTTACCTCGAGAGGCACCATTCTGGTGGGGGCGGACCTGCTGGTTCTTACCCTTAAACCCTTTCTGGTTAGGTTTAAGAGCTCTAGGGGTGGGTCTTTTAGCAGTGACGACCATCACCTCTTCTTTCATATCCTGCTTGCGGGACTCTTCCTCAATCCTTAGGCGAGTAATCAAACTTTCCAGTGAAAATTCTTTGGTTTTATGTCTAAGCATATTCTTAAAATCTTTCCACGAAGGGGGCAGCTTATCAATAATGCAAGCAACTTGAAATTGATCGTCCAGAGGCATACCTTCAGAGACGATCTCGTGAGCTATTTTCTGAAGTTCGTGGGACTGAACTTCGACAGACTTGTCATCCACCATCTGATAGTGCAGGTAGCGGCTGACAGCATACTTCTTAGCTCCAGCCTCCTCCGTGTCGTACTTCTTTTGGAGCACATCCCAGACCATCATTGCGGTGTTCTTGCTGTCCGCATAGTAGTCGTAGAGGTCGTCTGCCAGGCCGTTGAGGATGTAGCCCTTGCATAGGAAGTCATGCTCCCTTTCCTTAGCAGCAGCAGTCCTCTCCTCATCGGTCGCTTCTTCCGGCAGCTCGACGGGCATGCTAGTGAGGCAGTGTGCCAACTTCTTGGTCGTCAGGTAAAACTCCATCTTTTGTTTCCAGCGACGAAAGTTGACTCCAACGAAGCGAAACGGTCGATTGATATCGACAGCACCAGATCCGGCCATGTTGTTCTGTTCAGTCGACATAGCAGCAGCCGAACGTCTTAAAATTGTTAGAAACGGAACAACAACAAGATGAGGATACCGAATCTGGAGCTGAGTCGCGGACTAGGTCGCTTTCTTTAAGACGTTCGCGGCACTGCCCTCGATGCGCACGGCAGACTATCAACCGGTCGTCTCCAGGATAAAACAGCTACTCTGTGTACTCGCGGTTTTGTGCGAAAACCGGAGCTCTCTGAACACTCTCTTTATTGTGTTTATGATAAATCCTGCGGAGATTATCCTTCGAATATTCCTTTTCAATCGATTATCCCTTGGAATATTCCTCAGAGTAACCGATTAATAATTAATTATTAAATAATTAATTTCATTCGGAATTTCTCCAAAAAATATGTATATAGTCTCAAGTGATCCATCCATCCATCCATCCATCCAACCAACCAACCGACCGACCGACCGGTCGGTCGGACGGACGGCGCGCGCGCGCGCGTGTGTGGTGGTCCGTTAGGTCCTCCCTCTCCCACAAAAGTGGGTCACCCCAAGGGGCATGCCCTTAGGAGAGAGGCTCCTATCTTTATACTCATTTCACCAAGTAAAACTACCAATGTGGTAGTTTTTCCACTTGAGACTCTATAGCTTTCAAAGCTATTCATACACATTTCCAACAGAAACTGAGTAGAGAAACACTCAATTTGATTTTTGTAGGCTTGTGTTGAAAAGCGAAGCTGGAGAGGTCATGGTTAAGAGCGGAACCGAAGCTGGAGAGGTCATCTCGCCATTGACGCCATCATCGACGTCCTCTGTCCTGCCTCCAGCGATTTGATCCGCCATCGTCCACCTTCGTCGATGTCTACCACCACCAGACCATCGATTTTAGCCCGTTGTCATCAGGGATGACCAGATCCCTGGATCTGGATCTAAATTTTCCTCCACCACCCAATTATGCCAGATCTATGATTCTAGCTATTGACCTTCTTTCTTGCTCTACGGACGAAGTCGAATAAGAACGGTCAGCGGGTCTTGTCGGAGCTTATTGTGCCGATTCTGGATCTCGGACGAGTTTCGCTCTCAGTTCGTCAATTCTCGATCAGGTGGAGGAAAGGAAGGATGAAAATTATGTTGATGGAGGCGGTGAATGACCCAGAAAATCATATTCCTGCCTGTTGATGGCGTCGATTGATGAAATAATAGCGATAGGCAGACTCTATCTTCTTCTTCTGCGAATTGGGGCTGTGGGTTGCTGAATATTTTATGAGGAATTGATAGACCGTCATTTACACATGTTTTTACCCTCATACTAACACCGTTTGAGGTGTTGATTCTCGTGTTTTAGGCCGATTTCACGCTAGGTTGTGCTTGGTTGTGTTATTTCAGGTCCTAGTACGTGAATGAAGGCTTAGGAGCGAGTCTGGGGTCGATTGGATGAAGAACGGACGAAGGGCAAGCTTTTGGAGGAGTGCACGGCCAGACCAGGGGGCTGCACGGCCGTGCACTAGTGCCATTTGGCCGTGCGCCTCACGACGAGAGCTTGCACGGGCACAATCCAGGCTTGCACGGCCGTGCGCCTGGCCGTGCAAGAAGGCTGAGCTTTATAAACAGAACGGTGCGTTTGATGTTGCACGGCCAGATTGGGGTGGTGCACGGCCGTGCACCTGCCCGTGCACCTGGGGAAATCCGGTTTTAGTGCCTAATCCGAGCCAAAAGAGGGAAAAATCGTTTTTTCAGAGCAAAAACAGAGCCCTAGAGAGAGAAAGAGCATATAGGTTGGCCACTGTGTTTTGATGGATGAATTGATTGGTTTTCGGATTAATGCATGACAACTTGTTTGCGACTAGGACAACCTATGATGAGGACTGAAATGTGCAGTAGAACGATGTAGGGGTTCAGTTTTTCAACTGTTTGCTTGCCAACTGTGACTTGATCTGACTTGATCTGATTACTTGTTCTTGACAGTCGTTTATGCATCTAGTTCAGGGTATCAGAATGTGAGATAGAGCATATAGGTAGCCATGTGAGATTTGAGCCTGCTCGTTTCTTTCTTGTCTGATAGATCCCTCTTCCATGATGTGTAGCATTCACGTTGTCACTAGCTAAGATGATGGGGGCATAGGATTAGCCCACGCCCAAAACTGACTGTCCTGATGTGTCATATCCCCTAGTCAGCCCCTTTGAGCCGTGTGTTATCCTTTCTTTTGGTCTATAATGAGAAAATCACCCTTGTTGCATCTTTTAGAAGGTTCCACAGAGTGGTTTATATATATTCTGCTGTTTCTGCTAAAGTCTATATGAGTGTTGGAGGTAGTGCTTAAATGTTGGGCATGTGTTTGAAATGTGCAGAAGTGGTGGCTCTCTTAAGAAATGAAAAGAAAAATAAAAGAAAAAAACAAAGAAAAAGTGAAAGCAAAAGAGAGCCACTACCAAAAATCTGAATAATGCCCAGTAAGTAGTGTTTCTTAGCAGTCTGGCTTGGAAATGCTGATGTTTATGCCTCCTTCGCTCTTGTGCTCTTAAGATATTGAGTAATGCAGGATAGCAGAAAGAAAATACCGGGTTGTTGACTGTGGTTGTGTGTTTGGAAAATGTGGAACCTTTTGCTATGAATACTTCCACCACCTAAAAGGCCTTTTCCCCATGTCCAAGACCCTAGCCAGTCATTTGAACCTGTGTCTAAGACCTCCTGATTAGTTAGTGGTGACACCCCATATGTGAACTCTAGCATTTAGAGGCTGCCATCATGGTGAAGAGATGATAGGATTGAGAGAAATAGCATGCGCATCTTTCGCATCAAATTGTCCTGACCCCACTGGTCGAGAGTGAGTGATTCATTTTCATTTTCTATATGCTCTTGTACCCCGGTGAGGACCTAGATTGCTCGGTCTCTATTCTGATGTTTTGAGTTGGATGCATGAGTTGACTGTTTTGAGTAAGTGGTTGAATCAAGTCTAGGTTGGCCAGTGAACAGAAGGGAGACTCTTCCTTTACTCGATTTGCTGCACTCGAATGTCCTTTGTGGTGGTTGTCCAGGTTGTTGTTGAGGTTGTGCATGTGTTGACGTTTGAAAACCAGTGCGATTCACGTGTTCTGTGCCTTTATGACTTGTCCCCAATGTTGGTTGATTGAAATATGTAAGCTTACCTAGTGTCTGACTTGGTTTGCTTGGGGACAAGCAAACGGTTAAGTGTGGGGGAGTTTGATAGACCGTCATTTACACATGTTTTTACCCTCATACTAACACCGTTTGAGGTGTTGATTCTCGTGTTTTAGGCCGATTTCACGCTAGGTTGTGCTTGGTTGTGTTATTTCAGGTCCTAGTACGTGAATGAAGGCTTAGGAGCGAGTCTGGGGTCGATTGGATGAAGAACGGACGAAGGGCAAGCTTTTGGAGGAGTGCACGGCCAGACCAGGGGGCTGCACGGCCGTGCACTAGTGCCATTTGGCCGTGCGCCTCACGACGAGAGCTTGCACGGGCACAATCCAGGCTTGCACGGCCGTGCGCCTGGCCGTGCAAGAAGGCTGAGCTTTATAAACAGAACGGTGCGTTTGATGTTGCACGGCCAGATTGGGGTGGTGCACGGCCGTGCACCTGCCCGTGCACCTGGGGAAATCCGGTTTTAGTGCCTAATCCGAGCCAAAAGAGGGAAAAATCGTTTTTTCAGAGCAAAAACAGAGCCCTAGAGAGAGAAAGTGCGAAGAACTCATCCCAGAAGCTATCTTGGAGCTGGATTTCATCGAATCGAGCCTGGAGATCGCCATAGGAGTGAACATCATCGTCCCGGAGCAGATTATCCTCATCGTTATGAGTATGACTAATCCGATTCTTGTTTTCTCTTCTCTCTCTATGGAGTAGAACCCTTCTCTCACTTGGGTATGAAGAACCCTAGTTCCTGATGTTAGGGTTTTGATTGTAATGACTTGGGAATGATATTATTGTTTGATTTTAATCGAATGACGCATGTTTCATGAATTGATTTGAGTCTGATCAGCTTGTTTCAATTTCTGCTTCAACCTGAGATAGATAGAATCTGATTAGGTTGTTAAAGCCTCTTCATTCGATAGTAGGAGATTGGCTATACGAGAGTTAGCCAGTTTACTGCTTTGTACTGGTGTTCTTGGCGCCAGTAGTGGAGTTCTGTGTTCATAGCCTCAGCTTTCTATCCCGGTGAAGACTAGTCGTCTGCCGGGTAGTTAGACTGAGAGGGCTTGGTCAGCTTAAGAGATTCCAAGCTACTGTCGGATCTTCCGCAGTCTAATCAACAGTAAATCAACCCAGGGAATTACAATTGAACCTAACTAAGGGGCTAGGGGGACTCAATCCCGAGTGACTCTTAACTGCTTTTGAAAACCGAACCATTTCCTGCTTTCTTACTGCTTTTGCTTAAACAACAATCATTCGAACTAAGTTGCTAGATAATAGAGAATCACGGAGTAAGCAGTAGATCTAGACCCCGGGTTGATAATTAAACTTGCCTGTTACTGCATTCCCGGACTGCGATTGCACTTGGTCGCAGTTTGGTGTTGTGTTTTGGCGTGTCAAGTTTTTGGCGCCGTTGCCGGGGACCCCTCTAGGTTATTGGGGAAACGTGATAATTTGTTACTCTAGCTTTTATTTTCTGCATTTTATCTCTTCCACCTGTGTGCCTTCACGGGTTGCTTCTACTGATTGTGTGCAGGTAGTGCATGACCCGTAGCCAGTCGGGAGATCTACTACCATTAGACCAGGAGCTTGAACGAACTTGTAGGAACTTCAAGCGGGCTCTAAAGGCGCGACTGGCTGCGGAGGAGGCGCTGTCACAGCTGCAGTTAGAAGAAGAAGAAGAAGAAGAAGGCGAGATGGGGGATCCTCAGAACCACAATCTGATCCCCGAGGAGCAGACCATGGGATCCTACTGGACCGCAAGGGCTGCGGACATGAGGTCACCTATTCAACACCCTCAGGTCCCCGCCAACAACTTTGAGGTGAGCACCTCCGTGATCACCATGCTGCGCGGTTCAGTAGTGTTCCGTGGTAAGGAGGGAGAGTGCCCTCGATCACACCTCAGGCGATTCCACGAGCTCATCGATGGAATCAAGATCAACGGGGTCCCAGCAGATGCCATCCAGCTGCGGTACTTCCCTTTCACTCTTGAGGGGCAGGCCAAGGAGTGGCTAGACACTCGACCTCCGGGCTCCATCACCACGTTCGCCAACCTGGCGGACAAGTTCCTCACCCGCTACCATCCTCCATCCAAGACAGCTGATCTCCAGAAGCAGATTACACACTTTTCTCAGGATGAGGATGAGACCATTAGGGATGCTTGGGAGAGGTACACCAGCCTCTTTCTCAGGTGTCCCAACCATGGTTTCAATGATGCGTTTAAGGTGGGCACCTTCTATCACGCCCTCTTCCCGGAGGACAAGCAGCTGATCGATTCGGTTTGTGGCGGGAACATGCTGACCAAAACCCCGCCACAGCTGAATCAACTCTTTGAGGAGATGGCGGAGAATGGTTATGACTGGGGCACTGCCAGGAGATCGAGACGAGCACCTGGAAGGGGCTGTGCATGCTGTGGGCACCCAGTCATCTGATCTGGTGCAGGTGGTATCGAAGCTGGTTTCAGCTATCGATCGTTCTGGTTTGATTGCAGGTACCGGACAGCCGCAGGCGATGCACTGCCAGTGGTGTGAGAGCTCTCATCACACCGTGGAGGACTGTCAGGCTATGAGGGAGTCGTCCACTCCCCAGGAGCAGGTGGATTTCATCGGGAATGCCAGGCGCTTTGACCCCTACAGCAACACCTATAATGAGGGGTGGCGCCAGCATCCTAATTTTTCTTGGGCTGGGCCAAATCCCAGACCACCAGCTCCCCAGGGACCTCCCGGTTTCCAGAGGCCTCCATTCCAGCCCAGACAGGGGCAATTTCAGCAGCAACAGCAGCCACTCTACCAGCCCAGACAGGGGCCAGTTCCACCTCAGTCGCAGGCACGACCATTTCCACAGGCTGGGGCAGCCCCAGCACAGGTTGACCCGATGGCGGAAGCTGAGAGATCTGGTGGGTTCTTTGGCCTCCTCCAGTGCGAGTAAGTTCACTAACATTGAGCAGTTCATGGAGAAAGCTTCTGGCAAGTTCTTGGAGCTAGAAGCTGGTCAGAGAAACACACAGGCTGTGCTGCGAGATATACAGACCCAGCTTGGTGGTGTTGCACAGGCTGTTGCTCGGAGGACTCCAGGTACCTTGCCTGGTCAGACTATTCCTCACCCGCAGAACCAGGATGAAAACTGCAGTGCCATCACAACCAGGAGTGGCAAGGTGACTGCAGATCCACCTGTTCGAGCAGAGGAGAAAGAGACCCCTGCTTCAGCACTTCCAGCTAATCAGGAAGAAATGGAGAAGGAGGTTGAGGTGCCTGCTCCTACACCGCAACCAGTGGTGAAGGAGTATGTACCCCAGCTTCCCTTTCCTACTCGGTTGCACAAAGACCGACTGGAGACTGAGTTTGCCAAATTCATGGCAATGCTGAAGCAGGTGAATATTAGCATGCCCTTCGTGGAGGCATTATCGAAGATGCCCAAGTATGCCAAGTTCATGAAGGATCTCCTCACCAATAAGAGGAAGCTTGGGGAGCTGTCTACGGTGATGCTGAAACGAGGAGTGTTCTGCCATCCTGCAGAACAAACTACCAGAGAAGCGAAAAGATCCAGGGAGTTTCACTATCCCTTGCATGATTGGTAGTTTGCATGTAGGGAAGTCCTTGGCGGATTTAGGCGCTAGCATTAATGTCATGCCATTATTCATTGTTTAAGAAGCTAGGCCTAGGTGAACCCAGTAATACTAGGATGAGCATCCAGCTTGCTGATAGATCTATTGTGCATCCTAGGGGTATAGCAGAGGACTTGATAGTCGCAGTAGGGCCATTTTCATATCCTGTTGATTTTGTGATTCTGGATATAAATGAGGATGTTGATGTGCCATTGATACTGGGTAGACCTTTTCTCGCCACCGCCAAGGCACTGATTGATGTTAATGATGGAAAGCTGATTTTGAGAGCTGGGGGTGAACAAATCACCTTCTCTGTTTCTGATAATATGAAACACCCCCAGCTCCATGATGATCTTGATTACTGTGATGTTGTTGCTGATTTTGAGACCGCACTCGCCATCACGAGTGCGGGTACTGATGATTTCCTTGAGCGTTGTCTTTTGCTAGGGGAACAGGCATCACAGGATATGCAGCTGGCGGAGCAGCTGGCGGAGCTGGACGAGGCTGCGAGCGAGGGGCGAGAGCTGCCATTCAAGCCGATTCCCATCTCGCCCCGGCTCGCTACATCATTGGAGGAGCCACCAGAGTTGGAGCTTAAGCCCCTCCCATCTCATCTGGAGTATGCATTTCTCCGGGAGGGGAATAAGCTCCCGGTTATTATTAGCTCGGATCTCACCCCCGAGCAGAAGAGCAGGTTGGTGGCTCTGTTGCAGAAGTATGCCCGGGCCATGGCATGGAAGATCACTGACATCAGAGGCATTAGCCCATCCTTCTGCTCTCACAGAATCTTGATGGAGGATGAGGTTAAGCCAGTCAGGCAGCCGCAGAGGAGATTGTCTCCTAACTTGGAGGCAGTGGTCCGGGCAGAGATCGTGAAGCTCATGGATGCAGGGATCATCTTTGCTATATCTGATAGCAAGTGGGTCAGCCCCACTCAGGTGGTCCCGAAGAAAGGCGGGATGACTGTGGTCCCGAATGAGAAGAAGGAGTTGATCCCGATGCGGACCGTGACCGGCTGGAGAGTCTGCATCGATTACCGGCGCCTGAACGACGCCACCAGGAAAGATCATTTTCCCCTACCTTTCATTGACCAGATGCTGGAGAGGTTGGCGGGCCATGAGTTCTATTGCTTCCTGGATGGCATGTCTGGGTACTTCCAGATTCCTATTGCACCGGAGGATCAGGAGAAGACCACATTCACTTGCCCCTTCGGCACTTTTGCTTACCGGAGGATTCCATTTGGGCTGTGTAACGCACCGGCGACCTTCCAGAGATGCATGCTGGCTATCTTTGACCGACTGGTTGGAGAGATCATGGAAGTCTTCATGGATGATTTCTCGGTATATGGAGACTCCTTCACTCACTGTCTCCATAACCTGGAACTCGTTCTGAAGAGGTGCGAGGAGACGAATCTGGCACTCAGCTGGGAGAAGTGCCATTTCATGGTTCGTGAGGGTATCGTGCTTGGGCACAAGATCTCCAAGAAGGGGATTGAGGTAGATCGCGCGAAGATTGAGACGATCAGTCAGCTACCTCCTCCCGTTTCTGTGAAGGGGATTCGCAGCTTTCTGGGTCATGCAGGCTTTTACCGGCGCTTCATCAAAGACTTCTCGAAGATTGCCCTGCCGTTGACCAAGCTGTTGGAGAAGGATGCGCCATTCCAGTTCACTCCAGAGTGCACAGCTGCATTTGAGACTCTGAAGGAGAAGCTTACCCATGCCCCTATCATGGTGACTCCTGACTGGTCTCTTCCTTTTGAGCTGATGTGCGATGCGAGTGATTATGCAGTCGGAGCAGTTCTGGGTCAGAGACGCGAGAAACACTTCCAGCCCATCTACTACGCGTCGAAGACCTTGAACGACTGCACAGGAGAACTACACCACCACAGAGAAGGAGCTCCTCGCTGTGGTGTATGCATTTGACAAGTTCCGACCCTATCTGGTGCTCTCTCATGTGGTGGTTTACACTGACCACTCGGCGATTCGTTATCTGATGAGCAAGGCTGATGCCAAGCCTAGGCTCATCCGCTGGATCTTGCTGCT